ACAATACTGATCAAGTTAAATTTTAATTATTTCACAATCTACTATAAATTTGATTAGAATGACACTTTTATTTTATGATAGAAAATTTTGAAGTTCATTTGACTTGTTTAATATAAATGATTTTTAGAGATTTTGTATTAATTAGAAGAATAAGCTGAAAATTTAACTAAATATTTTATTTATTAATCTACTACTCTGAATTATGTAATGATTAAGAATATTGAGAAAAATTTGAATAGATGAAAATACTTATAATTATTGTTGATTTCCATTATTCAAGACCTTTTCAATTATTTACAAAAGAGATAATTCAAGTTGATATCAGAAAATAGATACTAATTACCTAATTGTGATACTATAATTTAAACATTCTAAGAATTACTTTTGCTTTATATATAAAAGTCAATACTACAAGTTAAAATTTAAAATTAAAAGTTTCTAGATTATAATAGTTTTTAAAATAGCTTGTAAGAGACTAAAATGATTGTATAAATTGTACTTATATTTTGTAAATAATGTTATTGTATTGAGTTATTTTATATTATAAAAAATTAAATAAAATCTTGTGACCATGAATTTTTGGTGTTTTTTAATGTTGATTCTACTTCAGCAATCCTACTCTAGATTTTTTGGACTAACAAATAAATTGGGTAGTTAAAAATTAAAAGTAATATTATTACCTCATTCTCATGATGATGTAGGGTGGTTAGACACTGTTGATTAAATATATTTAAGTGGACCTGGTGTTAAAAATATTATTTCATCTTATATTAATGCATTATTAGAAAATGAGGATAGGAAATTTGTTTAAGTGGAAATAGTTTACTTTGAGAGATGGTGGAATGAATAAAGTGTTTTAATGCAATAAAAAGTAAAAGGTTTAGTTGAAAATGGATAATTGAGTTTTGCTGCAGGAGGATTGGTGATGAATGATGAAGCAACACCATATTACGAAGACATTATAGATTAAATTACATATGGACATGAATTTTTATTTAAAACATTTAATGTGATTCCTAGAGTTGGATGGTAAATTGATCCTTTTGGACATTCAAATGCATAAAGCATCTTATCATATTTATTTGGTATGGAAGCAACTTTTTATGCAAGAATTGATTATTAAGATAAAGAATATAGGTAAAAAAATAAAGAATTAGAAATGATTCATATTCCTTATACAACAAGTAAATAAAATTATCCAATTTTAATACATGTCAATTATTTTCATTATTCTAGTCCACCTCGTTTTGATTTTGATCCATTAAGAAATTCAGGAGGTTATGTAAATGATTAAAATGTATAATCAAAAGCAGATGATTTAAATCAATATTTTGTAAGATAAGGTTAATATTATCGAGGATAAGTTCTTACTCATACTCTAGGTGATGATAATGAATGGTCTAATTCTAAATCTTATTATGAAAATATGGAGAAAGTTGTTAATTACATAAATTCTCATCCAGATAAGTACAATATTGTAATTAAATTTGGAACTCCTTAAGATTATATTGAAGAAATTAATGAATATTCTGATGAAATATTTTATCCAACAAAAAATGATGATTTTTTCCCTTATGCTGATAAATAACATTGTTATTGGACAGGTTATTTCACTAGTAAAATAGCATTTAAGGGTTTTGTGAGATATACTGGAAGATATTTCTAATAACTTAAAACTTTTATTTCTTATTCATTTGCTTCTCATAATTAGGATATTTTAGATCTTAAATAGCCACTCTTAAAGGCATTAAAAGAATTAGGTTATACATTAGGAGTATCTTAACATCATGATGCAGTTACAGGTACATCAAAAGAGCATGTAACAAAAGATTATGTTAAAATGTTACATAGAGATCTAACAAAAATGAATAAAGAATTCCATAGATTGATGAAGATTGTTATTTAAAAGGATTTAAATGAAAAAAATATTGATGAACTCTATTAATATACATATAATTCTACATCATCAGAATGTGTTGAAATATATCAAAATTTATAGAATAATAAAACTATACTTTTGACAATAGTAGATACAAAAATAAATGAAAATGATTAAGATATAATCAAAATTAAAGTACCTAAATTACCTCTTAATATAATTGATATTTAAAATAAATTAGTTTAAGGTGATGTTATATGTAGTAATTCAAAAGATGAATAAGATTGTACACTCTATTTCAATTACAATATTAAAAAAGGAGTTTAATATTACAAAATCAAATAAGGTAATAATAATCAAGAATCATCTGCCAAAATTATTGCTTCTGAAACTTTTACAAATATTACTGCTAATACTAAAATATAACTTGATGATGGACCTGAATTTTAGTTGTAATATAAGTATTATATTGCATCTACTGATAATGTATAACCTAGTGGTGCTTACATTTTTAGACCTTAAGGGGGAGCATAAGTATATGGATCTATCTAAAATGTAAAAGTATTCAATGGAACTATTTTGACTGAATTAAATATTGAACGATCTAATGTTAATACATGGATAAGAAAATATAAAATATTAAATAGTCAATATGAAGTAGAAACATTTATTGATTCTATTTAAAAAGAATAAAATAAAGGAAAAGAGGTTATTGTAATATTTAAAAGTGATAATATTAAAAATCAAAAAGTATTCTATACTGATTCAAATGGTATGGATTTATAATAAAGAAAAATTGGGTATCGTGAAACTTGGAGTTTATAAACTAATGAATTTGTTGCTGAAAATTATTATCCAATAAATGGAATCATTTAAATAAAGGATCATACTAGTCATAATGTTATGGCAGTAATTAATGATAGATCTTAAGGAGGATCTAGTTTCAATGATGGAGAAATTGAAATTATGATTCATAGAAGAATGTATTAAGATGATAGAAGAGGTGTTGCTGAAGCTTTAAATGAAGAAGAAGATAATCCTTAATGTAAAGATTAATTATAATAAAATTGTTAAAGAATAGTTGGTCTTAGATAAAAAATTATTCATAAATTATTATTTTTTGATCAAGAACATTAACCAAATTTAGCAAGAAAAGCTTAATTATATTTAGATTTCCAACCTATTAAAATCTTTGCAATTGATTCTTAAGATTAATTCACTGAAAATCTTCAAATTTAATAATTCTAATCTCTATTAAATAAAATTTAAGTTTTTAATCCAAAAGGAGAAGCAATTATTAAATTCTATTTAATACCAAGAGAAGAAAATAATGAATATTTACTTAGAATCCATAATATGTAAGAATAAAATAATGTCAAAATCTCTTTTCCGAATGATATTTCAACTGAAGAAACAATATTGAGTGGACTTCGATAATGGTCAGAATAATAAAAAATAAGATTAGGTAATTATCTATTATTAATAATTTTAGTTTGGAGTAAAAATTAAATTTAAGATACCACCTATATACCATTAGATGAGGTAGCTCCATAACAAATTAAGACATTTGTAATTAAAATTTGAAAAGGATATATTATAATATGATTATTAAAAAATAAAAGATCTAAAACTATTAAAAATATATATATATATATTAAAAATTTATTAATTTAAAAAATTTATTTTATGTTCTTCATAAATATCAGAAATAGCATTTCTCCTTAAAACTTGTATTAAACTTTATTTATTAAAAGATTTATATCTTTTTTGTATTTATAAATAGTACTAATTATTTTAATAATTTATTATACAATTGCTATTTAAGCAATAAAATAATTTAAATATCAAATTCAATAAAAAATTTAAGTTAAAAAAAATAAGAGATCATAACTGTAGTCATTTTTACATACATATCTCAGGATTATAACAATATTAATTAAATTATTCTTATATTAATATATAAATTTACCATTAAGAGTGTTATTTCTCAGAATAACAAAATTATCATCTTAAGGAGTTTCAGTAGAATCATAAATATTATCATATTTTGAATATGGTTTTGGTTTGTATGGTGGAGGTAATGTCTTTTTTAATAATGAATTCCAATCAAATTGTGAAAACCATGGATGATTTTTAACATCATTAGGATTATTAGTTCCTAATCTATTTTAAGGTTTTCTTTAAATTAACTTGTATTATTTATAATGATTACTTGATTCACAAAATCTGCTGCTTCAAGAGACCAAGCAACAGGTAAATCCATCCTTTTAATTTAAGCCTAATGAGCAAGAACTTAATCGCGTATTTCTTATCTTGTTTTTCCAACATAAGGTCGTTTACCAAGCATACATTCATGTACAATAATTCCAAGAGCAAAGAAATCTACAGCAATTCCATGATTTTATCTACAAAGCACTTCTGGTGCCATATATCCTGGTGTACCACTTGCATCTGAAGAATTTTAAGGTCTCCAAATTCTTGCAATTCCCATATCTGTAAGTCTCAAATATCCTTTATCATCAAAGACGAGATTCTCTGGTTTTAGATCCCTATGAATTATTCCCTACTAATGTAAATAATCTAGACTAGTAATTATACAAGCAGCAAAAAATTCTATAATTGAACAATTTTTCATACTCACTTCTTATTCTGAAAACCTTTTGTTCTTGTAAATATGAAATCTTAAGTCTCCCCCAGTTAGTAAGTCTAATACTAGATATAGGCTTTCCTTATCTTAGAATGCAGAATGCATATTCACTATAAAAGGATGTCTTAGTTAAATTAGAAGATTTTTCTCATTCAAAATTGCTGTTATACATTTTTCAGTAATTATTCTAGTTTATTTTATATCATATACTTTGCTTTAGACATTTTCTTAATGGCAAATAACTAGTTATTTTTTTTTCTTCTGACTTTAAGAACTTTTCCAAAACCACCTTTTCCTAAGACTTCAATAATTTCGTAATTTCTTATGGATTACACTAATATTATATTTTAAATCTTTACTAGATTCTTAAAATTCTTCTTATTTAGCTAAAACATTGCAATTCCCCATAAATATAAAAAAATTAATTTAAATAGTCATGCTTATATTATATATATCATATTTAAATTGAATAGATCATTTTAGACCATGATTCAAAGTTTCCCCAATTAAACCAATCCATTTCTTAGCATTTTATGACTAAATTGAATAATAAAGGATTTTTACTTTAAAAATATATTTTTATTTTTCATCTATTATAACAAATTTATCTTATTTTAGCAATTAGTATTTTAAAAATTAAGTAACATGAATAACTGTCTTTTTATCATTCAATTTTGGATTTGTATAATGTATTGAAGGAATATCATTAATAATTTATAATACTAGAAGTCTTGGAGTAAAGTATGATATAAGAACTAATATTATAATAATAATTATTATTTTACATCCAGAATCTTTTTCAACCATTTCTTAAAAGATAATCTTTGATATAGGTTCTTAAACAAATGTTTTTGATTTTCTTTAATCTCTATGAATTTGTAGAGGTTAAGGTGGATTCATTTACCATAAAGTATTAAAATCAATATCTGCAAAATAAGGATGACTTTTAATTTTAGAATAATCAACTAATCTATTATTTAGATCTTTTTCTAAAAATAACTTCATTAAATCCTAAGCTTATTAAGGAATGCTCTTGACAATAAATGAATAATTTAAATACTTTTGGAAATATAATTTGATCTTTAACAATTTTTTAATATAAAACTTCTTAATCTTCTTAATTATCTGTTTTGAATGGTATAGTTCCAGTATACATTTTAAACATTATAATAGCTAATGCCCATAAATCTGTTCCTGGACCTACTGGTTAATCAGAAATCATTTCAGGTGTCAAATAAGCATTTGTACCTACAAAGCTATATTTTCTTTTTCTTTCTGTATCTACAAAGTCTTTTCTATAATTGTCTATAGCTTAAACTATTTTTGGTGGAACTTTATCTTAATCATATATGACTGCAGTTCCAAAATCTATTAATTTTAAATGCTTTTCTTCAGTGATTAATAAATTTTCAGGCTTATATTAAAATTATAAATATACTTTTATGTCTCTATGTACTATTCCTTTTGAATGGATATATTCTAGAATGGATAAAATTTCAGCTGTATAAAATTAAATAATTTGATGAGTTAACTTTTAATCTAAATTATCTTATATATTAAATACTGCCATATAATTTTAAAAATTCACTAAAACAATCTTATGCTAATTCAAGTAAAAAATACAAATTATTTTTGTCTTGAAATGTTGAATGTAATTTGATTATTCCTTCATATTTTAAATATTAAAGCATTTCTTTCTCAATGTATGCATGATGTTACTTTTTATTCTTACATATTAATATATTTAATACCAATTTCATAAAATTTTTATCAATTATTTTTATTGCATAGATTGGACATTAATTACTATTACCTTTTTAAAGATCTTCTTTTTTTTGACAACTGTATACAGTACTATAAGCCCCATCACCCATAGATTAGATTTTTATAAAATCTTCTATGCCTATTTTCTTTTTAATTGGAGTCTCTACTTCTTATGAATTTTATATCATTAATATTATTATAAACTCTAACTAACAAAATCAGGTCTAGTATTATTCCGCATTTGTGGCTCTTCATAGATTATTTATGATTAAGCAAAATATTCGTTTTCTATTTCAGCCTTTGGAACTGGAACAGAATGGAATTAATTCTGATTTTAGTATACTCTTTAGGCAGTTAATGGTATTTATTATTAATGAAATTAATATTAAGATGGTACTTAATTGAAAGGTGTTAATGGTATAAATTATGGTTATTATTGATATTAAATTGGATTTCTAGCTGGAGAAGCAAATTATGGAATAATAATTTATTATTTTAAAGGCTAAATTATATTTAATAAATAATACTTTCTCTTCTTATAATGGTAATTAAATTATATATTTAAGTCCTTCATGTAATTTTTGAACAAACTTTTCTATGGATGTCTATAGATTTTTATAATCTTATTTCCATTTACTATCAACATAATCTAAAAATCCATTAACATCTTAGACTTCTTTTGAATTTAATGTTTCCATTTACATATCAAATAGTTTATAGAATTCAATTGTAAAAGCATTATTAAAATATGTTTTTATCATTTTGAAAAAATTATCTTTCATTAAATTTAAGAGTTATATTCTACATATTATTAAATCTAATTACTTTTTTGTTACAATTTCACCTTCTTTATTATTTTTGAATTCATATTCTTTATGATTAACATAAGATTAAATCTTTTTGAATGCTTCTTCAATATTATTTCCAATATCATCTGAAACTTTTAATTATTAATTTAATTATTCTAATTCAATAATAACTTTATTTCTTTCTTCTTAATTACTAAATCTAATCTCCTTTTATTTATCTTAAAACTCTTTTTTAACAGTATCCATTTTTTTTTACACTCCTTTCAAATTTTTTTCAATTACACTTTAAAAATAATTATTCTCATTTCCAATTCTATTTTCTTCTTAAATTAATTCAGATTCACCATTAATTAAATATTTCAATCCAGGACTTACATTCTTTTTGTTACTTTAATATAATTATAAAACTCCATTTTCTAATAAATTTGAAAGTTCTTCTAACTTTTTAAATTACAATTCAAATTTACTTTATGTGATTTCTCATGAATTTTGACTGCACATGTTGAACACATTACTCTTTATTAACATTATTTCTCTAAACAAACCCAACTGATCCTTTATTTAATATGTTAAGTGCATGTTTAATTGATTTCCATTTTTTTAATAATAATATATTGTAAATTCCTTATACAATTAACTGTCAATACTTTATAACCCAATATATTATAATCTAATTAATTAATTTCAACAGCTAATTTTTAACAAATGGATCCCAATAACTCAAGAAAACAATCTCAAAATGCCAGAGCATTAACTCTTGCTGATCTAGACTAACAATCTATATCAGAAGACTCTGCTATGGACTTAGATTAATCTCAATTACATAGATTAGGAATTGATATTAGCAATATATAAGCTGCTGATATGACTTAAAATGATGAACCTAGCAAATCAATTATGCATTTTTCTAAAAAGAATAGTGATTCTACTACTAATGTTGACTTAACCTAACACATATTCTAATTCAAACAAAAAATTTAAGATTTGCAATTAGAATTAGGATCTAATAGATCTGATCCTTATGAAATATCTATACATTCATTTAAGAATCAAGAAGATAATTCATAAAATAAAGGATTATGTGTATCAGAAGCACTTGGAACAAACATTCACTCTTAAAATTAACTGAAAAATTAACATTAATAAAATTCCACTTCATATTAATTCAAGGCTCCAAACACATCTTTATCATCTGGAGGTCTTAGTTATAATCTACCTCATTTAAATTCAACTGGAAATAAAGCTCCTCTTAATGTAAACCCAATAGGAAATCTTTATGAATAGTTAGAATATCATAGATTGAAATTTTATGATTCTTATATGCCAGAATAACATAAAGTACTCAATAATCCACTTAAATTTCTTAAATACAAATTGCATTAACAAAATAGATATGCATTCGATCATTGTTTGGATTGTTTAATTCATTGAAAAATTATAAATTTAATTAACTTAATGTTAAAATTATTTCCATTTTTCTGTATAAATTTATAATAAATCTTTCATTCTCTTCAAATTTTATTTATTTCTATGAAAGAATTAAAATATAATAATAATAGAAATTTTAATACTTTTTAATATTATTTATATAGCAATAATTTTTAAAACAAATTAGTTTAACAATAATAATTTCAACTTTTACTTAAAGTTTTATTATAAAATATCTATTCATATTAATTTATACTTAAAATAAATTATATATTTTCTATTATGTTGGATTTTAAATATAAAAAGATTGTAAAATAGATATATTTTGTAAATTGACTATGAATTCTTTATAAAAATTAAAAATATTAGAAGTTATTTTGTCCTTATGTTAAAATTAATTTGATTTAAAACAATTTTTACTACAATAATACGAAATCATAATCAAGGATAAGGTCGATAATATGAAGGCATCATTTATGACATCTAAGAAAGATATTTAAAATTTTTACCATCTATTATAATTAGTTATATTGATAAGATAAATAGGTGTAATTTTAAGTTAATTATTAATTTTCCTATTGCAATTACTGTACTCGGTCTGATAATAATAAATTCTAATATTTATTAATTTAAGTTTATTTACCTATGTGTTTAATTATTAAATTAATAGAGCCTAACTTCTATTAGTCTCTTCTGCTTATTGATAAAGATTTGTTTCTAAATTATCTTATACTACATCAACTTTTGTCTGTTTTTATTCACCATAATTTGGTTTATCACAAGTGGCTAAAAATTTAAAAATTTGTAATTACTTTGGTTGAGAATTTCTTACTTCTTTGTTAAGGTTTTCTTATTCTCTCTCTTTATTTTCTTTGATATTCGCCCCTCTTTTCGATAAATTTGCATAATTGCCTTAGCAGTTGAAAAATTGATATTTAATTCTTTAGCTGCACTTTTTATAGTACAACCTGTTGTAGTCACTTGTTTTATTAACCTTTATCGTTAATCATTAGATATTTTGGAATACTTTAGACCATGTTTTCCTAAAACTATATTTTTTTAAATATACCTCTATATCTATAAAGAAGCTCTTTCTCTTCTTCTGGAGTTCTCTTAAACGAAGGCTTTTAGTTTAAATCCTATGCAAAATCATATGAAGAGTCTGAAGAATCTGATCCATGTGATGAAGCTGAAGAATCAACTTATAGTATTTATTATGGACCTTCTACTTTAGAAAGCTACTCTATTGATGTCATACAATTTGATTATATCAATTTAAAAAAATAATTGAAAAAAAAATGTTGATATATAGGCACTTATATTCTGAAAATTTAATATATGAGCAGAAAAGATATGATAATATAAAAGTCTCTATTAATTAATAAATATATAATTAATTGTATTTCAAATTGAGAACGCAATCTATTCTAAAAAAGTAAATTATATATCAGACTCCTCTCTATATGATAATTAAGAATATTAATGAAATTTAATAATCTTTCACTTTATATATTTAGATGGAATTTTCCATAAAAATTAACCTATATATAAAAAAAAACAATTTCTTAAATCATTAAAATAACAATATAATTGCAAATGAAGATTAAACCTAAAATATTATCTGTAATATTAAAATTTAAAACATTCTTTTAAAAAAACAAAAGAAACTTATAAAAGTAAAATGTCCATAATAATTCAGTTAAAAAATAATGTTTTATCAATTCTTTTTATGTAATCCATTCTTACTAGTTTTAGTTTGATTCAACTTTATATTTTTTTTATCTATAGGCTTCTTATTAGATTATGAACGACTGAGGGAATTTTTTCTCTAATTTTTTTTATCTGTTTTAGTATTATTGTCTTTAGCTGATAATTTAGGTTTCATTATAGATTCTCCTTCTGATTGTTAAGCAACTGATTTTCTTGATTATCTTTAAGGTTATGATTATGATTAAAGTTTTTACTAGTTTAAGTCTAAATGTAAATTTTAAACATTATTCTTTACAACATCTTGATCTTTTAATAAATTATCCATAAGTAATTTCAAATCATTTAACTATTATTCTACTATCTTATCATGATTCTATCTTTAAGTATCTTAAATCTTAATTTAATTTTCAGGTGGAGTTTCAAGATTTATTATTCGTTATTCTAATTTTTAATAATCTACTTTTAATGCACTCTATCTAATTTCACTCATCATTACATCTATTTTACGATTGATAGATTTCTCAAACTATTCAAAAACTTGTTATTAATCTTTTAATTAAGTAGCTTCCAATAACTCTAATCGATATTGAGTTTCATGTAATTATTAATTAATGTTTCTTAATTCATTATGATATAATTCTTCCATTTTTGTATTTATATGTCTAGTAATCTTACCATTTTCTTATTCTTAGTTTTCTGCAAAATTTTACAATAATTTAATTAACTTAATGAAGTTCTTTAACTTTTCATCATGATTTTCAATTAATTATTCTATTCCTCTCATTCTTTATTCATATTTTTTATGAACCATAGTAGCTGCCTATCAATAAAAATTACTTTTACTTTTTCTAATTACTATTCAAGATATTAAATGTAATTTTCTTTATTATGATGAAGCATTTTCCTATCTTCACTTGTAGTCTTTAAAATGGGAGACACACTTCTTCTATGTTATTCAGAGTAGTTAGAATAATTCATCAAAATATCAGAAATAAAATACTGTTATTATTATTAGTTTGTTAAGAAATATTAATCATATTTATTATTAAAATAATCAATATGATTATATAAAAATATTCAATTTTTAATTTATTCATTTTGAAACATTTATTAAGCAATACTAAGTATTCCATAAATCTATAATTTATTCTTACTAAAACTTTCAAGTTATTATTAGATTTATGGGATTCTAAAATTAATTCTTCCTAAGATTAATTATTTATATACTTTATCTGTATTTTATAATTAGGTCTTTATTAAAAGAAATGGAAACTTAATTTTCTCTTATTCATTTGTTTCTCTTTCTTTATTAAGTCTAATCAAATTTTGAAGAGCTTCCTACTTTTTGATTGTATTTGTTAATTATTCTTTCTTTTATAATAATAATTCCTTTAATTTTTACTGTTAAATTAAATAATTAAATATACTTTTCGAATTATCAAATTCTATTTTGTTATGTTGATTTAGCTTTATGTATTCTTTCTCATCTATTTTTTATCTTTAATTACTATTCCAACTGAAATCATAACATTTAAAGCATCATAAACTCTTCTTCTTAAATTTTTAATATCTTTTAATCCATTGCCTTCTATTTCTTAAGTCATCTCTTCAATTAACTTTTAACATATTTCTTAATATCCAATTGTTTAATTTTCTAGTTCCTTTTCAACTCTTTTACTAATATATTTCAAACTCCATTTTTTCAATGATTTGGGAGAATTAAATTAAATTTGGCTTATTTTAACTGACTCACTTTATACAAACAATTTCTTATTAGTATTTGCTTGAGAATCACAAGGACCTTCAACATCTAAAATAAATAATTTTGCCACCAAATTATAGAATAAGCGCCAAAATTAATGCGCGTTTATATATGGATTAATTGAATCAAATCATAATGTAAGTTTTAAGATTTTATACCTCTAATAGTGCCTTTTACAGGTGTCTGAAATATATTAAAATTCATTGAATCTTCATCAAGTCTAAATTAACCTGTAAAGTCCATTGTCTATAGATTAATAAATTATATTAATAATATTTTACAAAATTAAATACTATCATTAAGCATGTATATTTAAATTTTTTTAAGAAATTATAAATATATATATATATAATATAACACCTGTCTCATTTGTAAACTGAATTAATTTAAAGATAATTTTATAAAATCAGAATAATTTTAACTATAAAAACAATTATGAATGAAAAATATTTAAAGTTTCTAAATTTAATATAATATTTTCTTAATTATAATAATAATACTAATAAATTTATGATTTCATTTTCTTGGTTTCTCTTAATTAGCTAATATAATATATTAATAATTATACGATCGAATCCTAAATTCATGGCCGTAGTCTGAATGAATCCTCCTTAATTTACTGAGGCTGGTTGACCAAATATTCCTCCTGTACTAATAGACATATTTTAACTTGATAGATTAGTAAAAGATATTTCTAAATAATAATTATTAATACTTTATTATGGTGGTGGAGCTGTACTTTTCTAATCGAAAATACTACTTGTACTTCCAAAACTGGATGTATTGATATTAAAAATTCCAGATGAACTTTATTACTATAATCCTAAAGTATTTTGCATTCCTTAGAATGTCTAATTGCCAGAATTTTACAATATGGAAGTAGGTTGACTTTACAAGTAAGTGTTAAAATTTACATCTTACTATCCTTAAGTAAACATTGTAGAACCTAGTTATAGTAAAGGAGCTTATGCTTAATTTGAAGGTTATTATTGAATTGGTGCTGCTTAAGTATCACTTTTTTAACCAAAAGTAAATAAAGATTTTGTAGATGCTTATGGTTATGCTGATGTTTATGCTGTTACTTATGCAGGTCCTTGTGCTGATGATTATGCTAGTCCTAGTGCTGATGTTTATGCTGGTACTTATGCTGGTGTTTATGCAGGTGTTTGTGATGATGTTTATGCTGATGTTTATGCTAGTGTTTGTGATGATGATTATGCAGGTGGTTGTACGTTTATTTTTGGTATTTGACTCTCTTCTTAATTTTCAGATTTTTATTATATTTATTAATGTGCTTGAGATTCTTTTTATTAATTTAATAATAAAGAATTTCCAGCTTCTTTCTTTTTATTTTATTCATCTTGTTTATTATCTTAAATATTAGTTTTGATTCCTAAAAATGTACTAGAAGATTCAACATTTGGGGTCAGTGATGAGAAAATATTCTTTCCTTCTCCAAAATTAGTATTAATAAAGGAGGACTCATTTTGTTTTTATTATTTTTCACTTTAATTTGAGTTAACCATTGCTATTTAATTTTAGGGTTATAAAGTGATTGGTTATGCAAAAATAGATTCTTATGGTTTTTTATTTTACTATTAAATAATTGCACTTTCAGGTTTTATTAAAGATTTATCTTAATTAGTTTTATCATTTTCATTAAGAGTTTGTTTTAATAAATTAGTATTCTAAAATAATGAATTGGGTTTATCATCTAATTTTAAATCCCCTAGTGGTGCATTATTAATTAGAGTTTTTTGTCCAAATCCAAATAGTGATTTATTAGTTTCTTATAGATTATCTTTTTATTTAGATGCATCAATATTTTGAGATTCTATCATATTTATTTCACCAATACTTTATTTATCTGATTTAAATGGATTTAATGATTCTAAATCTGAATCTAAACCTAAAAAACCACCCTTTGTTCTTGTTAAAACTTTACTATTTAAATCAGATGATTATTATGATGAATTGATATCACTTTTCTTTTCTATAATTTATGTTTAAATAGGATCCATTTTTCTACGAGTTTCTACTTGAGCCTAAAAATTTGATTGAAGAGTTTTATTATCATTTTATTTTTCATCCAAATTTGAAAATGGATGTTATTTAGATAATCTTGATGCAGATATTCCAAAAGAAGTTGTTGACATAACATTTAAAGGAATTTAAGGATCGTTTATCTCTTAATTTGTTTCCGTGCTTAATTTTAAATATTTTACATTGGATTTACGAGCTTAGCATAATTTTTCAATATATGCCATTTAAAAATCAGCTTTTGGTTCTTAATCAGAAAATTCAGTGAATACTATTTTTCTACCAATTTTCGTTTTTGAAATACTTGATTATTTTTTTGGTGTTATATGATGAATACTTGGGAATTCAAATTCTCCAAAAGTTATTTTATTTCTTTTAATAGGATTCATTTATAAAGTATTAATTACAAAGTTACATATCCATGAAAATTATTCTTCTACTTTTGATAATTAAGATAAAGTTTATTAAATATCATCATAACTAAATTTAAATTTTGGAATATCAAATGATTTTCTTAGTAAACAAAAATCTTAAACAGAAGAACTTTCCTTTGTTTTTGATTTAATAATTTATCTAGCATTTTATATTTATGTGTAATGAGCACTTAATTGATCTAATGACTTTTGAGATGTAAATATTGCAAAGTATGGTTTCATTAATAAATCATCTTCATCTTCTCCATTTAATTGTTTGATGGATTATTTACAAAATTCTTATAATTAATAGGTAATTTATGTTATTCTTTTTGGAGGTTAAGGTTATTATTTGATTATCTATTTTTAAGCTTCATTTTATTATTTTTCAAATGTTTTTTATTAATCTATAATTGATGGTTTTTATTATTATTTTGGTGGTGCATCTTAAACTACCTATAACAAAGGAGTTGAATCATTCAATTAATCTAATTTTATTAACAATTATCTATGAATAGTTAATGAACTTCTTTCATCATATTCATATATTAATAATGAAGGTTACATTTGATATTGAAATTCTTTTTAATCTTATTTTGCTGTACATAATCCTGGTTTTTCTCCTAATTTTTCTTCACTAGGTAATACATATTTAAGATTTGAAATTCCTTTAACATAATGAGTATATGATGATAATTAGATTGGTTCACCTTTTTCATTATCAATTGTTCTTAAATCATTTCCACAAACTTAGAAAATATATCCTTCCTATATTCCATTAGGAAATATTATAATGATTTTTGCCTTTGGTGTATTAATTTAGGTTATGTTCCAATCAAAATTTTAAATTTATGTTGTATGATCATTAATATTTAAATTAGAGAGTATATCATTTAAATGTTATTCTTATTTAGCTTGATTTCTTTCTGCATCATAATTTAGTATGTAATGATTGAATTCATACTCATCAATTGTGGCAAAGGATATATAAATATGATTTTCATGTAATTAAGTAATAAAATACTATTTAGATTATTTTATTTGTATATCAATTTAAACTAATTATTTTGTTTCAAAGTCTTTCAATACATATAATTAATCATCAACTACTAATAATAATTATGTTAATCCATCTAATTATAATAAACAAGCAGCATCACTATTATGAGTAACTTTTTATTATAAACTATCCTTTTTATATTCATACAATATTTATTACATACCAACTTAACAAATTGTTAATAATAAATATTAATCTAAAACTTATACTCTTTTTATATGATTATGATTTAAAAGTAGTTGTATATTCCATTATTCATCTTAATAGTTAACCAAATATAAACAAGTATTAGTTTATATCAATATTTTATTTTAAAATAAACATAAACTATTAATAATTTCTCCTGGATTTGAAGTTATTTTTTGAATTTATAATTTTGATTATTATTATTATGATAATATTTATTCTATAATAATTGGTGTAAGTATTATAATTTCTCTTTCATGTCCTATAATTTGAAAATGTTGATATTCAATAACCAAATTAGCTGAAGGATTTTCATTTTAATATAAACGAAATTCATAATTAATTTTTCCTTATCCAAATACCATTTAAGCATTTTTGTTTTGTGTCATCAATTATAAATTAAATGGTGGATTTGCAATAATATTCATTTCCTTCTTTTCACTTTCTATTAAAGTAAATTTAATATCATCAAAACTTTTTTATTATCTTTAAGATCTATTAGATATCAATTAAGTATTTTAGAATAAATTTTAATTATTTTAAAATATACTATTTTAAGGTTATGGTTAATTATTTTAGTATTCTACAATTTTTTTAAAATTAAAAAATTCATACATTAATAATCCTCCTTTTTTATCTAAAATGCATATATTAGGATTTCTTTCAATACAACTAAAATTCTTTTGATTCATACCAAATCCAATAAAATTATTAGATTTATATGTGACTAATCCTCTAATTTCTGAATGTTGAAGCAATTCTAATTTTTCATCTGAATTCTCATATCTTTTAGCTTATTAACAAAGTCTATCTAATGTCCAAAAGGTAGCTATTCTTAAATTACTACCATATACTATATATAAATCACTTAATTATGTGATTCCAAAATCACCTTTATTATTTGTATCTTAAATCAAATCTACTTCTATATGACTATTATCTTTAATAGGTTGATTGCAAGTCATATCATACCAAAATATATGGGAACTATATGTAGCTGGTTCTTCATCTTCATCATCATAAGGTTCATATTTAGTTTCATAACCACAAACACAAATAAATTTATTTATCAAAAATAATGCATTAATTACAATAGGTATTGGTATAGTTAATTCATAATTTTTTTAAAGACTTTTAACAACATTAGAATTTTCACAAATATAATAATATTCTGAATCTTTTAGATAACCAGCAACAATTTTATTATCAACTTTTAAAATTTATTCTGTTTAATTAATTAAGTTAATTGCTATTAATTTATCTGGTAAACAAAGGAAAAGTACATTATTTTAAATATTTAATTATTTAACATTAGAATAATTGTAAGTTTTTTGAAGTGATAACTAAAATATTTAAATAGTTTAAATACATTTGAATTACTAAACTTATATAATATGATTGCATTTTCTGTTCTAACAATTAATTGACAATTATTTTAATTTGGATGCATAGATATCACATTTCCAGATGTCACTGTATGTATTTGTTATGGTAAACAAGTTGAATATTTATCAATTGAAAATAAATCTGATATTCGATCATACTATAAAATTTTTTGTTTAAAGGCAATCAATAATTTATCATTAATTATAGTAAAAATGGAACTTGAATTTGGAGTTTAATTAGTAAATTAATTATCAGTATTCTATGAGTCCAATTTACCTGGACCCACAATTGGTTCATATTCTTATAATTTGTGTTTAATACATTGTGCTCTAAAATATAAATTATTATATTACTTATTCAAAATAATCCATTAATCTTTACAATCTGGAATATCTCCTTTCTTTTGGTAATCCTATGTTAAAGAAATACAAGCATATTAATTAATTTTCATTTATATAAATTTATTTAATTATTATTATTCATCAAAATTAACAATAAAAATAGTTTCATTCATTATAATTTAAATATTTAAATACTAAATCAATATCAAACAATTAAACATATTCTCTTCATATAATCAATGGATAAGTAATATTTTCAATCTTTTTTAGATCTTCTATTTTACAATAACTCATTTAAGGAGTAATTTCAACTAAATCTTTATCTTAAGTTCCTTCTAAATTTAAATATCTCTTATGTACATTAGATAACTATATTACAGCTTTTTTTGGATCATCAATAAGTAATGCATAATCTTTTGTTTAATATAAAATTGTTGTATCAGTAACTTCTATTATATCTTGAATATGTTTTTCAAATTAAATATTATCTCCTCTTTTTATTGAATGATATCGTTAATTCAATTTCAATGCTTTTTCATGATTCTATTTCAATTTATTAAGAAAAGAAATAGATAAATATAAATCATTAAGACACATTTAAATTTAATTTTCTTTTATAATCTAATCCTATTCTTTTATTGTCTTAAATTATTTATTTTAATAAAATAGTCTGTCATCCAAAATTTAATTAGTTTCAATAACTTTACATAATGCATCAGCCTTCTATTTACAAATTAGATTCAACATTATTGGATCTAATGGCAATCCAACGAGATTATCCAAACCAAAGAAATGTATATACTCCATATTTGGAAATTTACTGAAATTATCTAAAACCCTTTTACTTTATGAATGAATTTAGTTATATAAATATTGTACCAGTCCCCTCAGGTGTCATTATTACTTAATTCTCGTATTCAAAAACTACCTATCCTTTAATATCAACCACAGGTTATGATTTCTCCAATAAAAAAGTTATTGATTAAAATCCAAAATCTCTTTTGCTTTTGAGATACTATTAAAATTTATCAGAATTTTAATCTGAAAGCAAAATTGCTATTGGATAATCAACAATCTCTTTATTTTCAGATGCTTAAACATTTAAATTATTAAATTTACCTATCTAAATAACTTTTTTCAATCTTTCCATCATAATCTAAACTACACACTTTTTAGAAGGAAGTCCTATATCACTTAATAGTTTATCAGATAATCGAGAACTACGACCTCCACATAATAATACTATTCCCACTTTATGTTTCTTTAAATTAATTGATTATCTAATACCTTTATCAAATCATAATTCTATTCTATACTATTAATACTTTGTATAACATTGCATGAAAATACATCTGACTAATTTTATTTATAACAATGATGAAATAGCTATATAAATGTAATTTATAAACTATACAGAGTCTATGAATTCAAAATCTATACGTTCTAATTTTGTCATAAATTATTATTTTTTTTTATTATCCATCTTTTCTAACATATTTAAAATATGAGTTTATCGAGAAGCAATCATTCTTTAAATTAAAGATGAAAATATTGTGTCAATTTGTTATTCTAAATTATTCTTAACTTTTACTTACAAGTTGCTATATTGTTTGCAATATTTTCCAATTTTTAATAAGTTGAAACTCTATTAAAATCAAGTTTTTAATAATCCTCTTCTGAATTCTCTTATTTCTATGCTTCATTTTGAGAAGTGCAAATTCCCATTTCAATAAGAATTTACAATTTAAATTATTTATATATATTATTAAGAATGAAAGAAAGCATTCAACAATCCACTATTTCATTTGAAACTATTGAAAATTAAAGTATCATATAACCTTAAGCATTATTAGAAATCTATCATAAATGAGAATACTAAACAAATAAGGTTGTAGATGAAAACGGATGTTAAATTAATTCACCTTGAATATGTAAGTATTTTAAATAGCTTTTTATTAATATTTTTTTATTTTCTTAAACTTATTATTTTTTTTCATTCTCTTATTAATATTGGGAAATAAAAAAATCAATCAAAGTAACTTTAGTTATTGAAAATAGTATAATTTATAATTCACATACAATTTAGAAATTTAATATAATGATATCATAGAACTATATATATAATCTTTCCATAATTTTATTCTAAATAGATTATAATAGATAGTATTAGGCAATATCAGTTTGAATTAAAATAAGAAATTTTTATTATGTCATTATATGATATGATCCATTAACATTTAGAGAAAATCAAATGAATTTTATAGAAAATTGCTCTATATAAAAAAATTGATAGTATTTTATTATTAAATTAATATTCTCTATTGTAAATGTTTATATTATTTTTGAAATTGAAATAGGATAGTAATATTTTAAAATAAAGTAAAAACAATTTTTTAAAGAATATAGAAAATAATTTTATCTATATTTATATTTAAATTATCTAATACAAGGTTGAGATTATTGATGATTCATTTCATTAAATTAAAATATTGAAGTAAAGATAAAAAGTGATTAATTTTATATTAATTTAAATATGAAAATTCCCATAAATATACTTGAACAACCAAAAGAAATTGAACTACGAGTATTTAATATATAGAAGCTTAGATGTTGGAATTCATTCTATAGAGCTCAAACTTCTTAGATGACTTAATGAAACTAGTTATTGATTAAAGTCATCCAATCCATAAATTATCACAAGGATCTTTATGTTTAATCATAGATAAACTTGATTAATATATCTAAATAGCAGTTGATCAAATTCAAAAAAATCCTAGTTTTAAATGTCAAATACTGCTATCTCTTATTAATTGTATGATGGAATTAGAATGTTATAGGTATTTGATTAAATTAGAATAGAAAATTATTCAATTCATTAGAACATTTATTTAATATGTTAGAATATTCAGATAATTTACTAGTATATGAATAGATAATGTTAATTTTAATAAAAATCTATAAACAACCATCAAATACAAGCAATCCTTAATAAAAAGATTTTTGTAATTAATAATAGATTGAATATCTACCAAGAGCTATCTATTTTACTAGAATCCTACTTGATCATTATAACAATTTATCTTTTACTAAGATAGAATTAATTGATTATTTTAATGAAGATCCTCATTATTAAACCCTTTGTGAAACTCCAATAGAATTTCCTAAATTGATATTAGAGTATATGGAACCAACTTTGATGAATGAATCATATCAGGATTTGTGCAAGAATGGTATACACAAGAAAGAATTACAGCAATAAATTTAAATTAGAGTAGTTGTCAACAATATAATTAGAATTTTGAAATTAATGATGTCAATACCAATACGGCCCTAGCATTGTCGAAAACATTTTTGAATATCCAAGATTAAAATTATTGTCCTCTAGTTGATGCCATGAAATATAAGATCCTTATCTATAGAGGATTTTAATATAATAGAATTCCTACAATATCAATTATAGTAGTATTACATATACAATCTGTTTTAATGCATATGCTTTTAAATTAATTTTGTTAAATCAATAATTGTGGAGAATTATTAGATTAAGTTTTTGAAGAATAATTAGAATATGAATAACACTTTAAAATATATATGAAATTGTTTTAATTGAAAAATATTGATCCTCAATTATTGTCTACATTATTATTGACATTAGATGAAATAATTACTATTGAAAAATAGAATGAAAATGAAGTAGCATTTACTATTGCCAAAAATTATGATGAAACATTTCTATAATTTATTTATGATATTTTGTCAATGCATCCAATTTCAATAGAAACTGAATAAATTTATCCATTATAATATTCCCCAACTCTTTTGAGTGAATCATGTGCAAAACATTAAAAATTAGCATAAAGTATTTTTTAAATATTTTCATCTGAAACAGGTATACTCATATTAAGCAGAACTAATATAGCTCTTGGATCTTCATCTGCTCTAATTAGAGCACTTTAAATGTAGGATAATAAATTATTATTACCTCCTGAATCCTTTAAAGCAGCTATATTATTATTAAGCAGATTATCTAGAAAGGATGATATCTAAAGAGATTTAAGAATTTTCAATGATCTTATTAAAATTTTAGAAAATTAGATTAAATTTAATATTAATATTTAAAAACCTACTTAAAATGGGTATTCAAATATTACTTCTGAAGAAACTGATTAAATTATTGCAATATGCATTTAATCAATTAATGAACATTTTAGAGATGATCTTGGAAGAAGATCAAATAGAGCTAATGCTCCAACTTTTGCAAGATAAATCTCAGAATCAACAATAATTAAGTAACTATAAAAGTTATTTGTAAATTTTTCTCATTTTATTGGATCAATCTAATAAGCTTTAATTTTGATCTCTCATTTAGCTAATGAAGTACCAACTTTAATTGGTAGATTAATTGATTCCCATTTACCCTAAACATTAAATTAAATCATTTAAGATATGATAATTGATAAAATCAATTATAAAATGATGACAGCTATTTTTTAATTCTATTTTAATATATCTTTAAAAGAAGAAGGCTATGACAAATTCAATTCATATGGAATGAATTTCTTAAAAAATATTGTTAATTATTCATTAATTGATAATCTTAATAGTCCAAGAGAATAATTAAGTGGTTTAGCTTAATGTATAACTAAATATACACAAAAAATTGATAAAGTTGGACCTTAAGTTTGTGAAATACTTAATTAAGCAGTAGAGAGATTAAGGATGCATTTAATTGAAAAAAAAAAGTAATTAACAATTTCTAATATTTATACATAATATTTTGAGATTATTACACAAATTTAAAACTTGTCTATTTTAAGTTTTAAAATGTTTCATTATCCTCATTATTCTTATTTGGCTGAAATGAATTCAAGAGGATTTTTTGATTCCTTATTAATGTTTTTTGAATTTCCAACATTTGATTTTAAAAATGATTTATTGAAAGTATTTAAATGGTTAACTTCAGTTGATGAATATGATAATCCTCATAAAATATTAAAAAAAATTATATTTGCTATAGATAAATGGGAAGAATCAATAGGATGTAATTTAGAAAAATCAACATATATTGTTAATGTATTATACTACAATGCTCAAAAATTATTTTAAAGTTTTAATTAGCAATAAATTTAGGATAATCTTTAAATGGCATCACTCTATTCTTAAGTAGAATATTTATTAGAAATTTTAAAACTTTATTTAATAAATTCACCTTAAATTACTTGGGAATAATAAGATTTAACAAATTTGCACAATAAATGCTGTGGTTTATTTTAGATAATTTTAGGTTCAGTCATATTTAATGAAGAAGATACCAATAAAGATTAATCATTAAAAAAATCAGTGTTTTATTCTTACATTTAAAGTTTAAAGCATGTCATTGTTAATTCTTTTAATTTAATTAAAAGAAAGAATAGTGAATTAAATTCATTAATAATTTTGTTTAATTAAATGAGTTAAAAATTACATAATGACAATATATAGATAATGATATTATATATATCATAAATTGATGAATTATTAATTAATCTTTTTGAAAGTAAAAGATTACCTGATAATAAATATTTAAATTTAGATTTCATAAGTCTTTTATTACAATCACAATTTACTAAATATTTATAAAATGCTATTCATTCATACACAAAAATGACACTATTAAATCAAAATGAACAACTCAATATTTTATCTAAACATTTTTCATCTATCATTAAAATTTTGTATATTAATAAATTTGAAAAATCAAATACAGATTATGGATATTCAATAATAACATAACAAATTTCAGATATATAAGCCATGCTATAAATAACACAATTTTCAAATTCTGATTATATTTATAACATATAGTTTGTTCTTATTGAAAAAATAATGATAATTTTAAGTCCAACATTTTTGTAAGATTTAATAATCAAAGAAAAAGATCGATAAAATGTTTTTTCAATTTCTAGTTTGAGAGAAGATTTTGGCAATTTTAATATGAGATAATAAAATGATTTAACCTAAGCAAGGGATTAATTAAGAAGCATGGGATTTTAAGATTATGCAATTTCTATTGCATTTTAAAATATAAGAATTCCTGATGTAAGTATAGCTGCAATGTGGTTATCAGATAATTAAGAAATAGTTGAATCTAATAGATTAGCGAAGAAGCAAAATTAAAGGAATGAATTTTCTGTAGGATCCACTTTTGAAATTATTCAAAAAAAATAATAGGAACTTAGGATTTATATCAAAACTAATATACTTTTCTTTAGTAAGTTTGAGGAAACTTTGTTTAAAATATTTGAAGGATAGATGATGCCATCTTTATTAATGTGTTTAAAATAAACTGTTTAAGAATAATTTAAATTGTAGTTAAAATTTAAAGATTGTGAATTAGTTCTTAAGTAACCCTTTAATAATGATATAAAATTGATAATCACAATTTTGCATTATATATATAAATAATAAAATTTAGTGTAAGAATATGATTATATTGTGATTGAAATGATGAAATTAATTTAAGAATTATTGAAATACGAGGATGAATAAATAATTAGAGCTGTTAATCATGTTTTAGCAATTTTAACTCTCTTCATAACAGATGATTAGAAATAGAACAAATATAATCATGAAATTTCAAATGAAATATTGATAGGAATTCTCAATATTTTGAAAGGGAAAGTATAAAATCATACAACTTCAAAAATCTGTATAGAAATTTTGGTTAGATCTTTCTAAACAAATAAAGAGAGTGTCCATAAGTTTGTCTATTAAATGAGAGGATTAGAGTATCTCTTAAAAGTAAAAGGAGATTCAAAGAATAATCTTTACAGTTTAACAAAGCTTGTTTTATCTATTGTTCATGATCCAAGTATTGTTATAGCATAAGTAGAGGCAAAAATAAAAAAAATAATATATGATTAAGAATACAATAAAGAAATTGAGAATTTCCATAAATAAATATAATAGTAATAGTCTACTCACTCTTAATATCAGAATTCTTATCCTTCATGCTTTAAACCTATTTATTACAATTTATAAATCCCTAATGAAATTAAATTATCTAAAGATAATTAAGCTTTGATATCTATATAAAATTAAAGTTTTTATAGTGAATAAATTAAATTTGTTATGAATTCTCTATTTGAAGATTAATCTAATTATTATATTTTAAAAAAAGGTGTTCATCTATATACTTTTGATTGTGTTGAACCTGTAAGTTTTTTAAAATATAAGGAACCAGAGAGTACAAAACGAAGCAATAAGACTTCTACTAAAAAAAAGAGAAGTGAAGATAAATTGTAATTATAATCTAATTTTTAACATACACAAGAAGCTTAAATTTTGATTAAATTATTAATTTAATAGATGATCATATCTTATTTTGATAAAACAGAGCCATATTAATTTTAATGGAATACAATTAGTTAAGTTCTTTAAGTTTTAATAAGACGTTATCCAATACTAATTCCTAAAATGGTTAGAATAAATTGTAGTAAATTCCTTAAACCATATCATAAGTAATTAGGATTAGATTATAATGAAATAGATTTCCCTCGTAAAATTTCATTTATATCATTAATAACTAAGATCATGATTCCCATAAAGAACTTACTTTTTGAATTATGTTTAGATAATGTAATTTTGAATTAAATGTCTAATAATTCTATAGCTCCATTTTCAATTGAAGTCAGAAAGAAAATAATTAATGATATTTATGATGGAATAGAGAAAAGAATTAAAACTTTAGATTAAAATTTTTGTTATTTATCAGACACATTAGTATTCTTAATACAAATAAAATCTGTTGCTAAGATATGTTTTAAAAATGTAAATGAATTATAAAATTCATTTAATTTTGTTAAACTCTATATAGATGGAATGAAGAACTTCGATTTGAAATCATATTATGTTTATGAGAATGAAATATAGTTCTTAAATGAAACCCTTGCCGTTTTATTCAACGTAGCTGCTTATTTACTACTATATAAACCATCTCTCATTGTTATACCAAAATAAAATTAAGAATAATAAGGAGATCACTTTTAATTATAAGGAATGGTTGGATAACTTTTACCAGAAGATATAAATTGTCAACTTATTCCAAATAAAGGCATTATTTATTAAGACCCTATAAAATATTTCATAAAATGGCCTCTTTTACCTATTTCATTTCATGAGGAAATGCGTTAGAGTGTAAGATAGAATGATTTAAATTTATAACATTTATGGTCACCATTTCGTAGAAGAAATAGATTCCTTGATATGGAAGTTTTCGAGAATATTGAAAATGAAGAAGATGAATTTGAAATTGATGATGATGATGATAATGATATTTAAAGTGTTGAGAGTAGATATGATTCAAGTAATATTGAAGAATCAGCTGAAGAAGAATTTGATCTAGAAGTAAATAGTTGGATTACAAGTTAAAGTGGAAATAATTAAATTGAAGCTGAAGATCATTAAAATGTAAATTCAAGTTGGACTGATGAAGAAGATGATTAAGATGGAGAAGATAATGATGTAGAAAATAGCAATGATTCAGATGATGATAATAGTGAATTAGATGTATTAAATTAATAGGATATTGATTAAGAAAATTTAGAACGTAATGTTTAAGATTTAGAATAAAATATGTAATTACATTAGAATGATTAAAATCATTAAGTCTCTGAAAATAATAATGAAACATATAATAATTATCATCATCTTACTAATAAAGAGGATTTAACTTTTATGAAAATGACTAAATCCATAATTTAATTGATAGGAGTTAAGTTTTCATAATAATTTGTGAAAATCTTAGAGAAATTTAATTTTTTATTACCTCATAGTAAATAAGTTGATGATTAATAACTTATAAATTGGTGGACTGAATTAACTTAATTTACTTCAAAGCAGATAATCTCTGAAGAAATAATCTTACCTTAATAAGATATAAGAATTTAACCATTGAATATATTTCGAGATAGATTAGGAATAGATTTTCTAAGAATTGATTAAGATGATAGATTTTTAGCTAGAGTTCAACAAGGATAATTAGGAAGAACAGCCCGTAATAACCTATAATAAATAATAAGAGACTTTCCGGATAGATAATCCTAATTTGATATTATATAGGAATAATAAAGGCAATTTTAGGAATAATTTGGATAATAACTTGCTAATTTATAATAGTAAAATGCAGAGACGATTGAATCATAGATTGAAAATTAATTTTAGATACTTTAATCATAGCATACAAGACAATAGAATCATTAATTTTTATAATAATGTTAAAATCATCAATAAGAGTAAGAAATTAAAGATTAACATTTAAATTAATCTAATTAAATTAATGTAGAAGTTTAGATGTAATAATAATAATTATAATAAGAAGAAAATAATCACAATTTAAAAATAGATTAACCAGAGAAGATTGAGTAGCATTCAATTCACTAATAATAATAATAATAATAATAATAATAATAATAATAATAATAATAATAATAATAATAATAATAATAATAAATTGAATAAAATAATTAAAATTATTCTTAAATTTATCCTAAAAGTTACAATCTATTGAAAAGAGTAGGCAAAAAATTTGAAGATCTCATTAAAAATGAAATTGATCCATCAGTATTTGAAGATCTCAATGAAGATATGATGATGGAAATTGTTTTAGCACTTCCTTAAGAAATTGATGGAATAGATCCTTAATTTTTGGCTTCCCTTCCATCTGATATAAGAAATGAAATAATTCAATAATATTCTACCCCTATAAATTAAACATCATAATAATAATTTACAGTAGTAGATTTATCATAAGATTTAATAATGAATAATAATTCTGAGAGAAATCAATTATAAAATCATAGAAATTAAAATATTATTTCTACAATAAATATTGCTCAATAGAATCCAACTAACTTATAAAATCGACTTAATTTTCGAACTTTGAATTCTAGATCAATTTTTTAAAATCAACTTGTTAATGAATATAGAATCCCAATTTAAGAAGAATAAGTTTAATAGAGAAAACCTTAATCAAAATAATAAAATTTAAAAAATTTACTCTAAACACAAAGACATATTATATCAAAATTAGGAACTGTAGAACAAGAATTTACAGAATCATTATTAAATTTACTTTATGTAGAATCTCATAGTTTCATCAATTTTCCTATAAATCTCTTTATTTCTTTATGCAATAATTAAAATGTGGAGCATAAGTTAATTGACACTTTATTTTTTATTTTAAAAACAAATAAATCTAAAGATTAAGATTAAGCAAAATTCTTTCCACCAAGATTTTTGGTAAAGAGAAATGGACTTGTAAGAGATTTTAGTAAAATATATAATGTTGTTTCATTAAAAGTTTTGTATTTGTTTTCTAAATTATAAGGATTTTCAATTAATTACTTTTTCGAAAATAAAAAATAAAATTTAAGTTCATCTGAAAATAACTTAAACTTTCCATTATTACAATTAATATAACTTTTACCTGAATTTTAAGGGGATCATTAGGAAATGCTTATTTAGGCAATAATGAATATAAGTACAAAATAAAAGAATTTTTAATAAGAATAAATAATATTAGACTAAAAGTCTGTTGAATGCATATGTAAAACTCTTTTATCAAATATGGGTGGAATTGTTAAGAATTTTTCAAATATTATTCAAAGTTTATGTAACAACAAAGAAAATCAATTATTAATAGTTTAATATATAAAGGCATATATAGAGAAAACTATTAGAGAGATAAATGATAAATTTTTAAAAGAATAATAATTTGATGAAATATTTAATGGAGATAAAGCTCTAATAAATGTATTTTAGTTTGTAAGGGAAATTAATACAAAAGGTAGTGAATAAAATAATTAATAAGATGTAAGATTAAATTTTTAAGAATTATTGGAAAATTAAGAATTAATAGAATTATGGAAAAATATGATAAAATTTTTATAATAAATTCCATAATAATAAATAATCAAATTGGCACCAAAGATATCTCCATATTTAGAATGCTTTTTTATTATATATCAAATTGTTAATCCAATAAAAAAAAATAGATTGAATCAAAAAGAGTCCAAAAAAATTGCCATGATGGAAGAATAATTTGAAGAAGTAAAAGAGCAATAATTACATGATGAATTATTTTAATAAATTTGTGAAAGTGGAAAAGCATTATTAAATATGATGTTAAAAGAAAGATTTCAAGAATATAAAGAAAAACGAAAAATTACAAATGATAGCTTAGGAATTATAATATTTAAGAATCCAAGAATTGTTGATTTTGATAATAAGTAGAAGTATTTTAAAATGGAATTGAAATAATTGAAAATACAGAATAATAAACATCATTATGGCAATATTGCTGTGAGATGCAGAAGAAAAGACATCTTTATGGATTCCTATCATCGTTTTAGTAAATTAAAACCTGAAGATTTAAAAGGTAAATTAACTGTAGAATTTGATGGAGAGGAAGGTATAGATTAAGGTGGAGTTACTAGAGAATGGTTTTTGATGTTATCTAAAGAGATATTTAATCCTAATTATGCTTTATTCACTCCATCTTTAAATGGTTAAATGTTTTAACCTAGTAATAAATCACATGTGAATCCTGATCATGTTAAATATTTTAAATTTATAGGAAGAATTGTTGGAAAAGCAATTTATGATGGATAATTATTAGATACCTATTTCACTCGTTCATTTTATAAACATATTTTAGGTTAGAAATTGACTATACATGATATGGAAGATATTGATTTAAATGAATATAAAAGTATGAAAAAGATTTTAGAAGAAAATGTGAATGATTGGGGAATTTATTGGACTTATACTGTTGATAATTTTGGTAAATTAGAAGAAAGAGAACTTGTTGAAGGAGGTAGATAAAAATAAGTGACTTAAGATAATAAATTTGAATATGTTTAAACTTATTGTTATTAAAAAATGGCAAAGGAAATTAAAGATTAAATAGAAGCTTTTTTGAATGGTTTTCATGAATTGATACCTTAAAATTTAATTAGTATATTTGAATGGAAAGAAATGGAACTTATGTTATGTGGTTTACCAGATATAGAACGTATATTATTAATATAATTATTTAAGTTGAGGATATGAAGGAGAATGTGGAATATCATGGATATGATAGAGAAGATAAAGTTATTTAATGGCTTTGGGAATTATTGGAGAGTTTTGATGAAAGCAAGAGAGCAGCCTTTTTATAATTTATAACAGGTATTTTTAATTTATAATTTAAAGGAACTTCTAAAGTACCACTTGGAGGATTTAAGGATTTAAAAGGTATTCATGGTTCATAAAAGATATAAATTCATAAGAAGCATTATATAAATTTTGAATTGCCAACTTCACATACATGGTAAAAATATTAAATGACTTAAATAGTTTTAATTAATTGGATTTACCATGTTATCCAACTAGGCAAATTTTGAAGGATAAATTAGAACTTGCAATTTTAGAAGGAAAAGAAGGTTTTGGTTTTGCTTGATATGCTTTGATATACATATAATAACTAATATTTAATTTAAAAAATAGTAATACATATTTTATAGACAATACTAAATAAAAAGAATAACCAATAGAAATTAAAATATTTAATTAAAAAAAATTGTAAGATTAGTATTATAGTCTTATCTAATTTATAATAAAATTGGTATTATTGTTCTGAATAAAAAAAATTTTATTTTCATCCAGCTTGAGGATGTTAATTTCTAGCACCTTTATTTTGATATACTCCAGTAATCTCTTGTTTTCTTGGAGGTAAAGCCCTTACAGGTTGTTATTATGGTGGAACTCTACTTTGTATTCCAGGTTATTAAACGGCAGATCGAGTTATTTATTATTATTGTTAGGGTAAAGCCAATCGAGTTGGATTGTTATTATAACTACTATTATTATTTCCCAACATAATTGGTTAGATATCATCTAATTTTATTCTATTATAATATATTACTGTTTCTAGGATAACTAGGAGCACCATATGTGATTTGTTCTCTTGGGAAAGGATGATTATTAAGATCTCTCATATTTGATTAGCCTTACAATGCTCTTAGACCTCCTGAGGGTCCATTTATTCCTAAATTTCTTCCCATTCCCAACCATTCATTTTCAAATTATTCAACTTAATTTTCATCCATATTCAAATAATGGTTTGTAGTAGTAATTTAACCTGTTCTATCTCTTTCTCTTACATGCTTTCTGCCTTTATCATTCATCATTCTTTCATGTCCAAATCTATCTATTCCATCACTATTTTTATATCCTTATTATCTTTCACTTATCTAATTTAAATTATATCATTATACAGTATGACCATTAACACCTCTAGCCACAGCATTATTATCGAAATATTTTTCTTAAATAACTCGTCCATCCTATCCCATTTTAGATGATTAAACATAACTAGATGAGTATACCTAAAATACTCCATCCTTTGAATGTTAGTTAACATCTCTTTAATTTAAACCTGTCATATGTCTGTGAAGATTCGAGAATTCCATCATTTCATTTTCTAAGTCATCAAAGCCTTTAAAAACAGATCCAAATCCTAAATTAGCCAATTAACGATCCATATGTTGCATCATCTTGTTAGACATAGAATCAAATTCTTAAAACATATTAAACGGAGCCATTTATTAATTGTTCTAGCGAGACTTTATTTATAAATCACTTAATACATAGTTTTAGATCTGATTTGATCGAGGTGGTTGACTACTTCCTCTGTATGGTTGTAACATATTTCGTTAAACAAGTATAAATAAATATTATAATAAAAAAGATTTCTAGAAATAACTTAATTTATTATACCAAATTCTTTAGATTGTAGAATAATCTCTGGAGACAGAATTGAATCTTATCAATTTAGAATAGAAACTATTATTTTTGAAGAACAAAACTTTAATATTCAAAAGTGATATAAATTATGAATAAAGTTAAATTTCAGTTAAAGGAAGAAAAAATATATATAATTTCTATAATTATTAATTAATTTAGATTATAATTTGATGTTTTAACTAAATACTATTACATACTCCAATTATTTAAAAAGTATAAAAGTGATTGACACATAATAGTAGATCTTATATAAATAATTTAGGTAATGAAACTTAGAACTATACCTAGACTACAATATATATATATTTAAGATGTTTAGTGACTATTATATTACTTTAATAAAGAATATAAATTTAATAAATACTTTATATTTTTAATCTAATTATAGATTATATTTTCTCAACAATTTGAATAATTAATTAATTTTATAAGCTAAATAGTTTGATCTCATTTTTTATTATATAAGTTCGTACTTACTAACATATTAACATTATTGTATTGTTAAATATATTAATTCTTTAATTCTTATTGCACTCGAATTTGTAATTTAAATTAAAATTATTGTTGTTTTTGCTTTAGCCATTTTGTATGTTTATTAAACTCTTGTTATTTGAAATCAATAATATTGTTATTGAGTTTCTTGATTATTTTTATTTCAGATATGATTTTGATGAAGAATAAAAAAGAAGATTGTTGGAAGTAATGTTTGAAATATTGTTCAATTTATATAATATAAATATATTATGAATCCATCAAAAATGAGTCATTAAGAGTTAGGAAACTTTGATAATTATATAGAAGCTCTTTATAGTGGCTAATTATTAAATGAAGACGATATAAAGATCTTATGTCAAAAAGTGTTTATATTTGCATTATTGATCAGGCAAAAGAAATATTAGTTGTAGAACCAAATATTGTTTCTGTGAGAGCACCATTAACTATATGTGGAGATGTTCATGGTTAATTTCATGATTTAATTGAATTATTTCACGTTGGAGGTAGATTGCCAGTAATTTAATTATATTATTTTAGGACACTAATTATCTCTTTCTAGGTGATTATGTTGATCGAGGTTCTCAAAGTGTTGAAACTTTTAGTCTCATTCTTTGTCTAAAGGTTCGTTATAAAGACAGATTGACTATTTTAAGAGGTATATATATTTAATTATTTGAAAGGAAATCATGAAAATAGAGAAATCAACAAAATTTATGGGTTTTATGATGAATGTTAACGTAAATATGGTAATGAAATTGTTTGGAAACATTTTACTGATGTTTTTGGATATCTTCCTTTAGCAGCAATTGTTGAAAACAGTGTAAGTTTTAGTATATTTTACTAAGTTGTTTTGCACTCATGGTGGACTTTCACCTGCAATTGAATCAGTTGAATAAATTAAATAATTAAATAGAATTTAGGATATTCCTCATGAAGGAGCTATTTGTGATTTATTATGGAGTGATCCTGAAGAAACTAAGATGGGATGGGGAGTTTCACCAAGAGGAGCAGGATGGACATGGGGTTAAGATATAACAGACAAATTTTTACATTAGAATAAATTAAAAATGGTTGTTAGAGCTCATTAATTGGTGATGGAAGGATTTTAACATGTCCATTAAAGAAAGACAGTTACTATTTTCTCAGCTCCCAATTATTGTTATAGATGTGGTAATTAAGCTTGTGTTTTAGAAGTTGATGATCAACTTAAAATGACCTTGTAAATTTATATTAAAATATAATTATATAGTTCCCAATATGAACCTGCTCCAAGAGAAAATGAACCTTAAACTACACGAAGAGTACCAGAGTACTTTTTATGAAATACGAATAAAAATATATAAATTCGATATTTCACTTTTTATTGATGAATTAAATACCCTATTTTCTTGAAAAATATTTTGCTATAATAATTGTTTATCTCATTCATAGTAACATAATTACATAATTTCTATTTTTAATGTTTGAAATGAAATTACTATTTATGTTGTGCAAAATCCAAAATTATTTTGCTTAGAAATCTCATTACTTTTTTTGTCATTTTTCGTCTAATTAATTTACAAGGATTGGAGAACTAACTTTTATTTGAAAAAATGAAGAGCATATTCTATTAAAAAAAGTAAGTGAAATAATGTCCAAAGAATAATTTTTTTGAATTATAATATAATTAAAATCACAATAAAATTTTTATATAAATTTTTTTATTATTAATATATAAATACAAAATTTTATTCTTGTGATTATGGTAAATGAGTAAATTATAATTTAATTATTAGCTTAAATTTAAAATTCTATTTATGACTTTGCCACTTTTCCCAATTAATTGAATTTGATCACTTTGCCTAATTTTTTTTTCAACCTTTAAGATATATATTATTAATCACCATCTTCAATCCACTATATGCCATTTTATAATTTTAATGATATAAAGGCAAGTTCTCTATATTTACATTAATATTAATTTAATATATTCTATAACAATTACTATGCATAAATATGTCTATAATTATTAAAATTGTAAGTAGAAATAATGCATAAGCTTAAATGCATTATGAAATATTGTTAAAATAATTTTTCTATTTTAGAATTAGTATTATTGATACATAAATCTGAAGAGAATTTTCATTTATTTCTAAATAATTAATATACTTCAATTAATATTATTTGGTTGTTATTTCTTTCAAAATTTTGATGTTTGAGATTACTACAGCTTAAGCTACTTATTAGAGCTGACACTTCTCATTATAGATTTATTATTGATACCTTTTGTTCTAGTAAAATAAGTATTTTTTAACAGTTATAAGAATGATTTTATTCATAACAACTTTTTTCAATGCATAAAATACTCTATGGAATGGACTTTTTTGATAATATTTTTTTTTCCTATTTATTAATTTTATAATAATTAGAAGATGTTCTTTAATTTTGTGAAATCATTAGTCTTGCATCAATCAAATGTAAGTTTTTCTTATGTTATTTTGAATTACTTTTTATAATTAGACTTTGTATTCTTTAAAATAGAGTTTCTGATTAAATAATATTATTTATGGGTAATCAATGTGTGTATTGCCTCAAAAAGTTTTTTTAAAGACCAAATTTAAAGAATATGTCAGAATTACCTTAAACTGATATACAACAACAATAAGAACCCTATACAAAAGTGGATAATATTGATGAATCTGAAAATTATCATGAACATTCAGAAGAGCAAATACTAGCTATCTCAGACAATATATAAGAAACAATAAGTTTATCGATTGATATTTTCCTTTACAGACTCAAGACTACTAAAGATTTAGAGGAGCTTTATCATGATGATCAACTTATTATACTATTTAAGAGTTTTAAACTTGCAGAGAGATACACTGTAATATAAATATAATATGAATTCAAAATGAATAAGAAATCAATAAACGAATTTTTAAATTATACATATCTCACTCACATTGATTAATTTACTACTTTGTAGACAACTAGTGATTATTAATTAATTTATGCAAGTTTCAAGAAAATTTAATTTGTTGACTCTAGAGAATATGTTTTTATCAAATATTAGAAGCAGATTTGCACAAATAAATATATCTAAGTACTGCGCTCTATTAACACTGAATAATCATAGTAAACTACAAGAGGAATCATTTATATAAGTGGCTTTCTTTTGGAAGAAATTTAAAATTAAGAAATAAGAGTCTAAGCATATGCTGAAATTGATTTTAAAATTAGATTACCTCCTGGTATGTTAAAGAAAGCATTAACTATTGAGCTTAAAAGGGCTCTTTAATAATTTATTAATTGATTATATATTTATTTTATATCTGGATTTATGAAATAATAAAGATAAAGGCATATTATAAAATAATTATTTTATTAAATTGTAAATTAAATTTTATACAAATCAAAGATTATGCAAAATGAAGATTCTAAGGCTAATTAATAATTAGTTTAATAATAATTTTAGCAATAATAAAAAACAAGAGTAATTTAAAAATGAATAGGAACATAAAATCATATAAATTAAAGAAATTAATTAAAAAGAAAATTTACTTAAAGCATAAATAAATGAATATAATAAAAGAAATAAACAAATAAAATAAAAGTAGTCAAAAGGAGTATAGAATATAATTGATTTGACTTAGATTGTATAAATATAAACCTATTAAAAAAATTATAAGGATATTAAAACAATATTTATATAATCTTGTTTTATGTTTAGAATAATTTTATTAAGTGATAGTTATAATACTTAAATAAAATACAAATAAATCTCAAATTCATCTTATTCTTATAATTGGTTAATTTACTTGGTTTTAGAAAAGATTGTTCATTTTACTTTTTGGTCTTTCTAAATATATATTGCATAATTGTTTAGTTTTTTAGTCAAGTTTAGAGGTCTATTTAAGTTTTCTATTAAAGACTTGCTTTTAATATTGAATTTTTTTGCAGGATGAGGGTGAATAGGAAAAATGCAGAGAATCTGAATCAATTCCATTTATTATTAAATCATTCTATTTTGCCATAAGGTTTTCTTTATTTTTTATTGGAGAGTTAAATTTTGTGTTTGGTTTGGAAAAGTTAGTGAATAGAGATTTTTTAGCCACAGGTTATATTGACAAATTTTTAAGAGATCTTATTCTAACTGTTTTAAAGTTATTAAGTGTTTTAATAAATGTTGGAATTTGACTGTAGTTTTTGATTAGAGAATTTTTGGAGTTCATAACGTTATTATAATTAAAAAATTAAGGATAATTATTTAGTTAATCATATATATAGGTTTGTGTATTTGTATTTGATAATAAGTATAGAATTTTATTATAATGAATATATTAGGTATATATGTCTATTTTAGGTATTCAAACTTATGTCAAATTAAGTATAATAATGATTATATTAATATAAAAAAATGATGCGTAATGTTATTATATATTATAAATATTAATATTCTAAATTTAATTAGCTGCCTACAGTGATTCCGATTAGTTATGAAGATTATAGAAGAAATAAAAAATCAAGTGGAGTAGGAAATGAAAAAAATGATTGGGAAATGCATTGAGAAGAGATATGCAAAACTAACTGATAAACTAAAATAAGAATTCATTATAAAGGTTGTGAGAGATGGATAAACTATTAGATAGGTATAATATTAATATAATTAAGGCATCAAAAGACTTATGTATAAATTATTCTTCAGCCAAAGCAATAATGTCAAATTATAGAAAATCTCTATGTAGTAGAAAATAGAAATACAATTTGGAACCAAGATAGGTTAAAGTGAATGACAAATATGACTGGAAGAAATTTAAAATTATGACATATTGTGAAGAAACATAAACTAATGAATATACTATGGAAACATTTGCATAGAATATCAAGAAATCAAATTAAGATAAAGTATTAATATGAAATTTTGAGTATGAAGCATGATTTTTAATATACTTAAAATGTCTAAATAATTATTGTTGTCTTAATTATATTAATTAATTAATTCTAATCCAAGAATATAATTATAAATATGATNAATACTTAAATAAAATACAAATAAATCTCAAATTCATCTTATTCTTATAATTGGTTAATTTACTTGGTTTTAGAAAAGATTGTTCATTTTACTTTTTGGTCTTTCTAAATATATATTGCATAATTGTTTAGTTTTTTAGTCAAGTTTAGAGGTCTATTTAAGTTTTCTATTAAAGACTTGCTTTTAATATTGAATTTTTTTGCAGGATGAGGGTGAATAGGAAAAATGCAGAGAATCTGAATCAATTCCATTTATTATTAAATCATTCTATTTTGCCATAAGGTTTTCTTTATTTTTTATTGGAGAGTTAAATTTTGTGTTTGGTTTGGAAAAGTTAGTGAATAGAGATTTTTTAGCCACAGGTTATATTGACAAATTTTTAAGAGATCTTATTCTAACTGTTTTAAAGTTATTAAGTGTTTTAATAAATGTTGGAATTTGACTGTAGTTTTTGATTAGAGAATTTTTGGAGTTCATAACGTTATTATAATTAAAAAATTAAGGATAATTATTTAGTTAATCATATATATAGGTTTGTGTATTTGTATTTGATAATAAGTATAGAATTTTATTATAATGAATATATTAGGTATATATGTCTATTTTAGGTATTCAAACTTATGTCAAATTAAGTATAATAATGATTATATTAATATAAAAAAATGATGCGTAATGTTATTATATATTATAAATATTAATATTCTAAATTTAATTAGCTGCCTACAGTGATTCCGATTAGTTATGAAGATTATAGAAGAAATAAAAAATCAAGTGGAGTAGGAAATGAAAAAAATGATTGGGAAATGCATTGAGAAGAGATATGCAAAACTAACTGATAAACTAAAATAAGAATTCATTATAAAGGTTGTGAGAGATGGATAAACTATTAGATAGGTATAATATTAATATAATTAAGGCATCAAAAGACTTATGTATAAATTATTCTTCAGCCAAAGCAATAATGTCAAATTATAGAAAATCTCTATGTAGTAGAAAATAGAAATACAATTTGGAACCAAGATAGGTTAAAGTGAATGACAAATATGACTGGAAGAAATTTAAAATTATGACATATTGTGAAGAAACATAAACTAATGAATATACTATGGAAACATTTGCATAGAATATCAAGAAATCAAATTAAGATAAAGTATTAATATGAAATTTTGAGTATGAAGCATGATTTTTAATATACTTAAAATGTCTAAATAATTATTGTTGTCTTAATTATATTAATTAATTAATTCTAATCCAAGAATATAATTATAAATATGATAATATTATCAATAATGTTTTTTATTGGAGTAATTGTAATAATTCTCTCAGGTTTAACAATTTTTTATATTGATCTATTATCTTGTTGAATTCTAAGAATTTAGATTTATTCTTAGAATTCCATTTATTTCTAATTTTATATTTAATTATTAGTATATTTTGATTAGCTTTAAAATATGTCTTTTTTCAAACTTTTTTAAAATGATTCAAGAAGTTTTCAAATGGAACAGCAATTAAAATACATAATTATATTGATGAAATTAAGATAATAAAATGATATAATATATAAGTAACAAAACTTTTGAATATTGGATATATATATAGGACATGATTGTTCTTTAAGATAATCATTTATATATGTTATAAACAAGCAATCATTTATTCAGCTATTATTGCTATTTCTATTTCATCCATTCATCATATTATTCTTTAGCTTCTTTTATGTTCTTAGTCATCTATTCTTGCTCTTATTATGATAATTATGAAAATAGTCCACTATATAATTGAGGATTGCTTTATTGTAAAGTCAATATTAATTTCTCCATCAATAATATAGCATCATAATCTTCCAAAGGACTATCATATAATTCAGCATAATCATCTTCATCTTCATCATAATCATCATCATCATCATCATCTTCTTCATCCTATTCTAAATCCTAAATCTTATCTGCTAATTTCTTTTGATCATCTACTTCCTCTTCTGCTTAATCTTCTTATTCACAAGATTCTTCTTCTTCTCTCAATTCTAAAATCTTAGTTGATAATCTAACAAATAATTTTCCTATTTCTGAAGATGTTGTCAATAAATAATTAGGAATTTAAGGAAGTGAATATAATTGACAAAGAGCAAAGATTAATCTACTGATATCCCATTCATATTTATAGTGTTTTTCCATTGTCAATAAAGTTTATAATATTTAATCAGTAATTCCTTTACTATTCAAATAATTTTATGCAAGTTATGGATTATACCATATACACATATTCAAAACACCAATATTAACCATCTTAAATTTATTAGTCTTCTTTTCTTTCTAAAAATATAATATAAAATTATATATACTTATAAATTTAATAATGAGAAATCTATAATTTATGGAATTAAATTATCTATTTATCCTGGGAAATTCTCAATTAATGCTATCAATATTGTAGTCACTTGATTTTAATCAGTTTCATCTGAACCATTATCAGCTATTGTATATATCTTTTGTATAAATCTGAAAATTAATGAAATAAATGAATTTCCAAAGAAATCATTTTAAGTCAAAAATGTACTTCCACCTTTTTAAATGTAATTTCTAAATGATCCCAACATTTAAGTAACAAATTCACTACCCCAATCTTTCTTACATCCTTCCAATAAGATATATTATTCTTCTGTTAAACCTTAAATTGCATATACATTTGTTTCTTATGGTAATCCAATAATTATATAACATAACACTGGATAATAAAACCATAATCCTGGTGTTAATTATTTTTTCTTATAGAGCATTAAATTTAATATTTCCAATGCTTCATTTATAAAATCACATCCTGACTCAGTCAAAGCAAAGTTAATAATTGGAAATATGACTGGCTCTAATTACACATAAGATTCTTATTAAAGTGGTGCATTTAAAATTCTCTTTATTGCTTCTAGACATCCAGAAGCAGCTAATTCAGCTTCTCCATCATCATCTGAATCACCATCACCTTAATTTTATTTATTACAATATTTTTAAAATATTGTTGCAATATGTGCAGCTAATTAATGTGCATATGGTGTAATTTCATTAGTAAAGTTTTTTACTATTTCTTCTAATGATCTAACAATTCTTTCATTGTCTATCAAATCCATCAATTTAATATAAATTTCTAATACTTAACTTAATTAAGGTCTAATTAAATCCTATGCTTCTTTATGTTATAATATTGAACTAAATGATATTGCTGCTGCTACTCTTACTGGTAATTCTTTATCTAAAATACATTTAGATATTCCTTATACTGCTAATTATATATTCTATTTATTTTTAAATTCAATTGTTCCATATTCATTAAAAACATGACAAGCACGTGCTCTTAAAAATCCAACTGGATTCTAAAATTCAGGCAATATATGTTTCTCTAAAATTGATTCCAAACCATCTTTGATTGCATCAATTTTAGAAATTTAATGAACTAAACATTCAATTCCCCAAAGTAAAGCCTCTTTTTTGAGTAAATTTAAAGGTTGATTAGTTAATGGATCCAAATTAGAATTGAAGGCATTTTAACAATAAGTAAGGAATTAAATAAGCATCAAATTACCATTTGCATCAGTTTATTAACAAATTTCTTATAAAAGATCATTTGCTGGATTTTTCATATTATATGTTGAAAGAGAAAAATCATCTAATCTTTTGATATATTCTTCAGGATCATTCTTCCATAATTCATCATCTCTAGGAGTCAATTACATTTTTGGTATAGCAACATGATAAATTAATTTATCATAATGTGCTTTTAATAATTCTTTAGTATTATCTAATTTAAGAGAATAATATAAATATTTAAGTGCAAATAAACATGTTCTAGGTCCTTAGAATTATGTATTATCAGTAAGAATTTTATAAAACAATTCCATAAATCCAATTGCATAAGTACTCTTAATATGTTCTGCAAAATCAGCCATATCAGGGTCAACCATCTTTTTATTTGCAAATTTTTGGATAAATCTTAATACTATTCTACTTGCCCATTTTTTATTTGTCCATATGTATGACTTTTCTCTTCTAGTTTCCTCTTCAGAATCCTAAGTAAATGATGCCAATTCAGGTGGAGTAGGTGCAGATATGATTGTCTTAAAAAATAACATCCATTTTGCAACAGCATTAAAATCTCTCATATATATTGGCATAACCAAATGAGTAGCATGATGGAATATTTTTAAAATGACTTTCACCAATTATCCACTTTATTCATTATAATTTTCAAGAAATTTTTAAATCAATGTCTCTAAAAGTGGAAATGTTGATGCCACTAAAGGTTCTAATGGTTTACGATCATTATCCAATAAAAATTAATGAACTTCACATGTTCTACGTAAAGTCAATAAAGCACTCCATAAATCTTCATATGATGTGTAGTTTTATAATTTGATAACCAATTATTGAACTAATTATGGCCAATCCTTAGGAAAGTCGATAGCTACTAATTTGTAAATCAAGTCTTCATATTATGATCTTAACTTCTTAACTTATATGCATCTATATACAATTATAATTTATAATTTACCTTGCTAAAGCATCTATTATTGTTGCTCTAATCAAAACCTTTTCTTCTGGATTCACTACATAATGTCCTGGCTCTTTCTTCTCTGCCCAATGCTTCTCCAAAAATGTCTTCAAATTCACTACTGCACTTTGTCTAACAATATCTTATTAAGTCTAGTCATCTACTATTTTAAGTAAAGAAATTGCATATCTAATTATATAGAGGATATTTATTACAATGGTTGCATAGAAGCCTACTTTAATAATGCTTCTCCACTGTTAACACTTTCTTATGAGGCACCATAAGTTAATTGTAAAGCATTTATCAACTATCCTAAGTCTTATGTTTGCATTCACGAACTAAATTTTAAAAATTTATTTTTTTAAATATTTTTTTAAAACAATTTGCGCTATAATTACTTAATTATTATATGTTTTTAGTATTATGATTATGAAAATAGATAAAAACTTATTTCAATAATGAAGATCAACTCAAAATAACAAAATTCTAATAAAAGATCATTTATTATTCTCTATCTAAACATTAGAAAATAACTAACTATCTTAATTTTTACAGATATTATATAATTAATTAAAATGATGATGTTGATCAATTCATGATGCTCTTTTCATGATTAATTTATTCCTTATATTATATCATTCAATATTAATAGCAATTTGATAAAATAAGGATAATTAAGAGTTTTTAATTATTGATTACTACATCAATTTAGAATAGTATAAATTAATGTAGTCATAATTAATGAATAATATGATAGTTTTTTTGGATCTTTAACAAAAAGAAAAATTCTTCAATTAAAGTATTTTTTAGAATAAGATTTTAATTTTGACTATAATTATGTATTAATTATTTTTGATTCTATTTATCAAAACTTGAACAATAATGTATTTTTAAATAATAATAATTTGAAAATACTATCTCTTTCTATGACTTATTCTAAAATATTAATTAAAAAAAAGAAATCCTAGATTTATTTATATTAAAATTATGAAAATGATTTAGATATAATTATTATAGTTTATTCATATTAGAGGATATGAATTTCAATAAAAATAACTAAAATTTGAATGAAAAGAATTGAATATAAATATGACTTTGAAGTTTTATAACTAAAATTTATGTATATTTTATTCAGTTAATACTAAAATTAATGGAATTTTTAATTCTTATTTATTTATCTTATATGTTAAATATAAAAGACAGTTTTGATAGAATTGTTATCTAATATTAATGATTATGATTTGATTTATAATTTGTAAAATGAAGGATAGAGAAGAGTTGAAGAAATAATATATTGTTATATGAATAAATGAATTAATTATTATGATTATTGGAGAGAGTGATCTTTATCAATTGATATAATCAATAAACAAGAGATCAATGTTTAAAACAAAGTTTGATCTTGAGTTTATTGATCTGTGTCTTAAGGATGTTCCATTTTTTCATGATTTAAGAAAATAAGTAGGAGAAACACAATATTAATAAATATTGAGAGAACTTCAATATGAATGTCATATACCTTATGAGCCTTAGGTTAATATTGGTGATATGAGCACAAAGTTTTACTTTATATTAAGTGGGAAATTTTTGGTGTTGACTAGAAGTTATATTACTTATCAAGAT